AACAGTTTAAGAAGGCAGTTCATCATCATCTTCTCAAGAGCAACTAGGGACGGCAAAGAATTCTGACCACCCAGCAATGCCCATGTCCTACAAGTGAGTATCTCCAGTGCAAGCACTGTCTAAAGTGGGAAAGTTGCAGTCCAATGATGAGTGGAAATAGGGCTTCTGACATTGATTGGAATATTTGGGCCATTATCATGAAATTATTACCTGATTGCAATGGACAGTGTGTGAACCAAGACTAAGGGGTAGATTCTGAATTGGGTAGTTGCTGAAAAACAGTGCTGTCTGATCTACAGTTCCCTAGTCAGCAAGTTAAAAACCGACCCCAATGAAATTGGTCTATATGAACTAATCAACCTCATAGTTATTCCTTGTGTAGATTCTTTATGAATTGACACATGACTGCAATGGTATTTTAAAGCCAAAATTAAAAGGCACATCTTATTCCTCACAACTCATCGAGTGTAAAATACTCTTGGTCATAATGGCTGCTTTATAATGTTTGGCACTGGTCATTCACAGAAAGTCATGAGTTACTGTTTAGGAAATTAAAAGTTGGAAGGTTCAGTGAGCACTGTGATAGGTTTGTAACATGACAATTTTATACATTCAAATTGTACATTATACATTCACTGGACATCTTATAGTTACATTTGTGATGGTCATGTCATATTCATGAAGCTAATTGGGAGTGGAAACTACTTTTGAAAAGAAAATAATATTAAAAATGGATTCTGGAAAGTCAGGTGACATCTGATTAGGTTTCTGGATAGACAGAGACAAGCCTGCGACATTATTTAAAATGTAAGTGGATTTTGATGTGCTAATTGACTATCTCTTACCATTTCAAAAGAAAAGATCTAAAGAACTGTGGCTACTAGACCTTTTGATCCTACAAAGATGTGATGTCAAATCAAGTCTTTCAGTGAGTTTAAGAATATTAATGAACATCAATCATCCTCTCAATGTGTTTCAATTACATCAGTTCCACTCCATTGTTTGGACCACAGGATACACTGAAATTGCCATCAAATGACAGAAATTGACTGAAGAGGGGATCAATACCTTATTAATCCACAAAGGAGCTAGCCTGGGACCAGCTCCACAGAGAAAAAAGATCATGCAGCAGAAAGGAACCACCATGCCTCCTCATCTCAATGAGAAGAACTAATTCATTTTATCAGCAAGATTATGTTTCTTCACTAAGGACTACCTGGAACAGTCAGAAATTTCCAACCTCCACTTGCCTTCAAGGAACCAAGAGGGAACCTTTTAGGCCTGAAATATGTTTCAAACTGCATTTTGTTATGATTCTGGGACCCAGAGGACTTACAGAATGAATAAAGCCACACAATTCCACATTTTGAACAAACAACAATAAATTTTACAAAAAAAATTGGATCAATAGTGCAATCGACATGACACATCAACCTAACACGCAGATTTGATGTGCTAAATGAGTCAGTGATCAAATACCTTCCATTGCATATACAATCAAGATAGAATTCAGGGATTTATCAGCAATTCCCCCTCGATATTAGGGACATAGTAAGTCATAAAATCCCATCGGGGACCAAAATGTTTCATGCCTGCCGATTTAACCTTGAAAATCTCTGCTAAAAATTGGTCCGTTATGGGCAGCCTCAATAACTGTTCTTCCTCTAGCCAATTACACTCCTTTCCTGGGTTTACATTCCTCTGTATTCAAAAGTTACATTTAAGTACTCACTCACAAGCATAACTCCAGTTCTTCACAGACTGCTAAAATCACCAAATTGTGTTTTCTTTTCCCTGAGTTCTAATCTTCCTCATTTGCATCTAGTAAATACTGTCATAGAGTCAGAGTCATAAAGCACAGAAACAGACCCTTCAGTCCAACTCATTCACGTCGACCAAACATACCAATCTGACTTTGTCTTATTTGCCAGATTTGGTCCATATCCCTCTAACACCTTTCCATTCATATACCTTCCAGATGCATTTTAAATGTTATAATTGTACCCGCCTCCACCACCTCTTTTGGTAGCTTGTTCCAGACATTCACCACCCTCTGTGTGAAAAAGCTACACCTCAGGTCCTTTTAAAATCATTCCCCTCTCATCTTAAACCTCTGCCTCTAGTTTTAGACTCCCCTATCCTGGGGAAAAGATCTTGGCTATTCACCCTATCCACGCCCCTGATGATTTTATAAACCTCTATTAGGTCACTCCTCAACTTCTGATGCTCCACGGGAAAAAAGACCCAACCTATTCAGCGTCTCCCTATAACTCAAACTGTCCAGTCTTGGCAACATCCTTGCAAGTCTATTCTGCACCCTCTCAAGTTTAACAACATCCTTCCCATAAAAGGGCAACCAGAATTGTACACAATGTTCTAAAAGTGGCCTCAGCAATGTTCTGTACAGCTACAATATGACATGCCAACTCCTATACCAATGTTCTGACCAATGAAGGCAAGCATGCCAAACACCTTCTTCACCACCCTGTCTACCTGTACCTCCAATTTCAAGGAACTATGCACCTGCACCTCTAGGTATTTTGTTCAGCAACACTCCCAAGGGCCGTACCATTAAGTATAAGTTTTGCCTTTCCAAAATGCAACATCTCACATTTATTACTGCTTGAGAATCCATTCTCTTGGCAGCTGTATTAATACTTATAGACTTTTTGCAAACACCTCACAGCTTTTTCCAACAAAGACCCAGCCACATTCCAAGCAAAACTTTCCCTGAGTTCTGACTCTAACACTTAGCTGCTTACCAATTCCTAGAAATTCCTGCTGAGTTGTGAAACAGCTTAGATCTATCCAACTGCTCTTGGCTCCTCCCTGAGGCCCGTACACATAATCTGTGTAGCTTTCCAGCTGTACAGTTAACTGTGGTAGTTGTAATACGGCGTATATCTCTGTCTCCTTCTCCAACTAACCGTAACCTCTGAACTCCTGTTCAGTGAGCCCCTTCCAATTGTCCTGAATGACCCATCAAAAACTAGTAATCCCCCTATTGCTGGACAGGATTGAATTTTATGAGCATTTTGAAACAGTCAAGCATAGAACCTTTGGAACTAAGCGTACCTTGAAGTTTACATTCTCACCGAATGCAAGAAATTACTTTCATCTCAATCTTCGAAACTTTTTAAACAAGCCATTTGTTTTGTATCACTCTGTTAGTAATCTAGGAGCATAACACAACTCTATAGCTCATCTTTTCTTGTGTAGCCTGTCTGTGCATGTGCGTGTATCTGGGGATGGTTGTTGCATACATTTAAAAAGTACTGTGAAACTAAATGACAATCCTTTCTTTTCATTTAAACTTACAAGGAAGCCAATTTGTGTCAGTGCTTTTAAGATCACAGTACTCATGAAAAGAGTTAAAATACTCCTCAAAAATACAGGGAAAGTTATCCTATCAACTCTACGTCTGTTACACATTAAGCTTAAAAGACTTCTGAATATTTCTATTCATGTTGCAATTTCCTTTGTCCCTTTTGTGTTTTGCAGTGTATTCTGTGCTTGACCAAGAAGTTTACATCACAAAGAAACCCTCCTTCATGGCCTTTGCAAGAAGTTTCATTCAATCCTGAAGATCGAACTTCATTGAGCATTAAAATCCACACAATTGCAGATGCTGTCAAAAATGAGAACGAAAGCCTACTTAAACTTTTATATTTTTACACAAGGGGATTCTGTAATTTGTTAAATGGTGTAGCTGTTGTATTTTGTTTTCCCAACATGTTGCTTCTAAGTAACTGCAACATCCGCTGCAAGCAAAAGATTTTTTTCAGCAGTTCAATGACAAACAAAAAATATTGCATGAAATAAAAGCAACTTCATTGCTTACTTTACTACAAATTCAGTATACACAGGTTTTATTTTAAACTACCAATACTATTATCAGTAAAAAAAATTTTAAAAGATCTACAGGTACTACCTTCTTGACTTTTCAATGAACAAGAGACAGATGCAGGTCACTAACTTGGTTTTTGTGTCTCCTACAAGTTAGCAGAAGGTGTAACAAACAATTACGTGTTTCCTCTTTGTGTAAGTCCAGTCCTGTTGTCTGCATGCTTTGAAGATAGCAAATTTTGTAATGCTCAGATCATGGGGCCAGTGGAAATTAGTTGAGATCTCTTTAAAAATGTAGCAACATGCAGTCACTTATTCATGAGGGCAAGGTACTAAGTGGACTGCTGGTGCAGCATAAATTTGTGTGTTGTTACGTCTCGGTGGGGTTTCCCCAGTATTTTGATTAATGGAGAGGCTTCAGTCTCAGCCAGAGGCCCAGATTTTCAGGGTGTCTGGAAGGAAATCTTTAAAAATGACAGGAAGGACTAATTCTGGGATTCCTGACTCCATTTATTCTCCAGCAATTTTGTGCAGCATGGGATAAGGGTACAGGCCCACGTGGAGCATTCCTACCTTTGCTGGTTAAGGGGATAGGAAGTTCAGCTCTCTTTCCCTGCAATGTTCATAGAGCTGACCTGTTCTGTTAGTTGCTCGTGGCACATCAAAGGAGTCTTGAATCACGTGGGAGCCCTCGTCCCAAGTCAGAACCCAAAGAAAATACAGCCATTCAACATCCCCTTTGTATTTCGTTATCTCCTCATAGCTTCTCATAAAACTATCTATCAATCAATGACAGTAATTCAGTGTTAATGACAAAAAAATTTCAGTGTACTTCACATCACTTAACCTTATATAAATAGATATACACAAATTCATTGAAAAATACTCCTCAAAGATCAGGTTATTTCAAGATAATAAAGACGTCAACCAAACAAGCTATTTCTGCTTTGCAAATTGTATCAACATTGCCTACAGGCCTGAGTGCACTGGAGTTGAGCCAAGTATACAAATGAGGCCTTCTGGCAACTGTTTCAACTAAATAGGCTGAACAAATGGCCAATAACTTTATTTTCAGTTAAGGTTCTTCAGTAGATTTGTAGCTTGGGTTGGTTCACTTGCCGAGCTGATTCGTTAGTTCGCAGACGTTTCATTACCTTGCTGGGTAACATCATCAGTGCAGCCTCCGATGAAGCACTGTTGTGTTTTCCTGCCTGGTATTTAACCTCTAGGGCCCATTGGAGTTGATTACCTCATTTCTGGTTTTTCTTTGCAGTCGTGTGTATATAGGGTCTAATTCTATGTGTTTGTTGATGGCCTTCTTGCTGGAGAATCAGGCCTCTAGAAATTCCCGTGCCTGTCTCTGTTTGGCCTGTCCTCGGATACTGATGTTGTCCCAATCAAACTGGTGGTTCTCCTTATCCATGCGAATGGAGACGAGTGAGTACTGGTCATGTCTTTTTGTTGCTAGTTGGAGTTCATATACACCACTGCAAAGAAAAACCAGAAATGAGGTAATCAACTCCAACGGACCCCACAATTTAAATACCAGGCAGGAAAACACAACAGCACTTCATCGGAGGCTGCACTGATGATGTTACCCAGCAGGGTAATGAAACATCTGTGAATGAACGAACCAGTTCGGCGAGCGAACCAACCAGTTATTTTGAGGTAGTAACTTTTTCAACTCACACTTCCCATCTCATTCATGAAAACCTGGCCTAGACATTTTTGGATAGAACAAATGAAGACAAGACATTGCTAAAGACTGGGAGTAAGTCTAGAAAGATATAGGTTGGTAAACTGAAATATATTTTATTTTTAGTGAGCAACTCAAGAGAGAAGTCATAAGGAGCACTAGGGAGATAAAAGATGGAAAGTAGTAAGATTTTTAAAGGAGCACAAGATATGATAACTAGTTGACATTTAGGGTAGGCACAAAACTTATTGTGAAGGGGATTAGTTAGCTATAAGGCTGGTTTGTGAGTCAGAGTGACAGCAACAGTGTGGATTTGATTCCTGTACCAGATGAAGTCCATGAAGGACACGCCTTCTCAACCTCTCCCCTTACCTGAGATGTGGTGATCCTCAGGTTAAACCACCACTAGATATCGCTCTCTAATGAGTGTGCAGCCCTTTTACCTTTAAAACTAATTATTTTTGGATATTCAGAGAAAACCAGGATTTGGGCAGTTTCAAAATATATTAACCCTGTGCCAATGATTGTTGATCACATTATACAATTCACCCTTTGAGTACTGAATATACATTACAACAGTTGTAAAGAAGGTAATTATTTATTCATGCTAAATATTATCATGCTAAATTAAAGAAATATGTGGAATCCTTCTCCAAATCAAAACTAGTTATCTAGATAAATAGGTTCATAATTAAATATTTTACCAAAGGGTTTGGTAAATAAAGGAAATGGTGGGATATTTTATTGACACCATATTATCAAGAAAAAATGGTTTCTTTAGAAATGTTTTAATTAATAGCTCATTAATATTTGTGGAAATTCAAGCTCATGATCCTTTTCTCATTATTTTACATTAATCCAGAGGCTACTTTGGTTTATATAGTACTTTATTGCATTTATTAAATGAATTTATGAATAATGGTTGAATTGAAGCAACTAGCCAATGATTTTTGGTGAAACTAATGTTGACTGGAAGCTTGAAAATGATTGCTTTAAGTAACCTGTCACTTCTTGAATAACACACAACTTACAGGATGTTACAGGGTAACAACATATCAAGAGACCCTAGGGACATCACCAATGACAGGATTAAGTTTAGTCTATTATTGAACGGAGTGATCCTGGGTGTCCTGGTACTTGAATCATGAAAGGTTAGTATACAGCTACAAAGTGATTAGGAAAACAAATGAAATATTATCATTTATCACGAGGGGAATGAAATATTAAATAGGGATGTTTTGCTACAGTTGTACAAGGCACTGGTAAGACCACATTTAGAATGTCTGTATGGTGTTGGTCTTCTTCCTTAAAAAAATACATAATTGCATTAGAAGCAGTTCTGAGAAGGTACTTGACTGACTCCTGAGATGAGGGAATTATCTTATGTGGTAAGGCTAGGTCTGTATTCATTCAAGTTAAGAAGTATGAGAGGTGATCTTATTGGATAACATAAGATTTGGGGGAACAGGCTGATGCTGAAAGGAGATTTCCACTTGTTAGGCAGTGCAGAACTTGATGACATATTTTAAAAATAAGTGGTGTCCTATCTAAGACAGAGACAAGGAGGCATTTTTTTTCTCTCAAAGGGCCATCAGTGTAATTTTCTTCCCTAGAGAGTAGTGGAGACAGGATCACTGAATATTCTTGAGGCAGAGTTAGTTAACTTCTTGACTAACAAGGGAATCAAAATGTATTGCAGAGAGTCAGGAAAGTTGGTTGAGGCTGCAATCAGGTCAACCGTGGTCTTACCAAATGTGGAGCAGGCTCAAGAGACCAAATGGCCTCCTTCTGTTCCTAACGTCCATGTATGTGTGCAATTTCAACATGCCTGCTTTTGTTAGACAACAATGCAGACACATTGCTTGTGATCTAATTAATATGCGAAGATTTTTCTCAGAAAATGTGTTCCAAGAGCATAGCTTAGGACAGATCTGTTATGGAGATACATACAGAATAATTTATGGGATTTGTATAGAGGTTTGAGGACATAAATTGCAAGTGATCAATGAAACAATCACCTGAAATCTGCTGTACTAACCCCACATCCCAACCTCATTTGTCTGTTGTAATTCTTTGTTTTATATGAAACTAGAGACATGATAACTGCCTCCATTTCTTCTAAGGCACAGCTCATTAATTATGACGTGTTCAGTAACGACACTGATTTAAAAAGATTTTCTTTCCTTGTTCTCTTATGAGATTTTAATCATTTTATGTGTTTAGTGTAAAGTTTTTCCCAAATGCTTTGTGATAAAAATAAGGGCAGAGAGCAATTTTAGCAAAAAATATAAAACAAGTGGGGTGAGAGAAGGAGTACTTAGTTCATCTTATAGCCCAAATTTGAACAATTTCAATTGCTTTGTTTCTGGTACCCTCTCTGGCAGATTGTTCCAAAAATTTGTATTTATGAGGAAAGACGTTCCCCTGAGATTTTCTTAAAATTCAGTTCCCAATGATATTTAACATATTTTAAGTTTTTTCTTAACTGGGTTCCTTCTGAAATTGAATACTTAAGTTTCCAGAATCTTCTCTTACAAGTATATTCAGGTGAGGAATGTGACAGATTCTGTAGCGCAGTATTTTTAAAAAGGGCACAGTTTTCATGAAGAAGCCAATACATGTACCAATTAACACTAAATAATGTATTTCTAGGATAAATGGGTAAATAAAGCCCTTAAAGCTGACTATTGAACCATGACTAAAAATGGCATTGCATGTTAACGTGTGTACTGTGCAAGGTGAAATATATTGAATGACATTGACATAACTATATAACCTGATGTTGTAATGGTCTTCATGACATTAGTGCTTCAGCAAAATCTTTTTAAGAATTGCTTTACTGTAACTTTCTGAAATGTTTTTGTCTTGTCAGTGTGACCAAGATGTTCATTCTCTTGTAATTCCAAATATTTTAAAATGAGTCTGGACCTTTTACTGTTTCTGATCACAAAAACCGCACTTTGTGAATGTACCTTTTATCTGCATCATCAATTTTGCATTACATATAATATTTACAAGTGTCAATACAAGTGTCATTTACAATACAAGTGTCATTGCGAAATGAAGTTTTCTGTTTGAATATGGTTTGATCAATAACTCACCAATGCGAGAATTGTTGTGAATAATTTAATGAACATGTTCTATGATATGCTTTATATAATCAATAAACACCTTTCATGCAAAACTTAATTACTCATTATTTGAGTTTTGGTCTCTCTTTGTGCAAGAATGAATGCATTTTATTTTTGTCATGTTTGTAATATTTGTAAATGATTTAGATGAAAACGTAGGTGGTCTGATTAGTAAGTTTGCAGATGACAAAACTTGGTGGAGCTGTGGAAAGTGAGGAAGGTTGTCAAAGGACACAGCACAATATAGATCAGGTGGAAAGCTGAGCGGAGAAATGACAGATGAACTTTAATTTGGACAAGTGTGAGATGATGCATTTTGGGAGGTCAAATGCAAGAGGAGAGTTTACAGTAAATGGCAGGAGCACCGATAAAGAGGGATCTTGGGTGCAAGTCCATAGCTCCCTGAAAGGGGCAACATAAGTGGATGAGGTGGTAAAGTAGGAGTACAGCATGCTTTAGAGGGTTATGGGTCAAATGCAGGCAAACGGGGCTATTTAGTTTGAGAAACCTGGTCAGCATGGACAAGATGGACCGAAGGGTTCGTTTCCATGCTGTACGACTCTATGTGATTTTGAGGCCACACCTCTGAATTTGTGCTTAAGACAGACTGATCAAGAGAAATCAAAATCAAGAACCATCTGAGATATACCAGGATCTGAGCTCATTGTTATGTTGTTAAGAGACAGTTAACTCCAGTTTAATGACCTGACCAATCTGTCTGACTAACTCAACACACATTGGGCTATTTATGTCCTGTGGGAAGCAACTTTGTGACATCACTGTCAGGATGCTCCATGGTTCTTTTTATGCCAGTAATGTTCCCTGACATCATAAGGGCCCCTTTTCCTAAGGCTTACAGATGTGTAGATACATGCATAACGTTTTTGGATCAATCATTCATGTGTTGCAGGTGAGCTCATCAGAGTGATGGGTTATGGCCTTACCAGTTGTGATGTAGATTTCAGCCAAGAAACCAAAGCACACACCTCATGCATGGTGGCATAATGGCTGCAAATTGCATTCAGCTTAACCAGGTTCAACAAGAACAAAAGAGAGACCAGGAATGTGTCGACATCCACTGAAATTACATAAGAGATCAATGCAATATCATGTCCATGGTCATAGGGATATGATAATTTCTAAGAACTCCTTCACATTAAAGATCCCATTCCAGAAGTTGGCATAGTTTTGAGAGTGACCTAAGACATCTGCCAATTTTACACCTGGCTTAGCTTGAGAAAATGGCCATCCTGTACATCCTCAAAGGGCCTTTATCTGTGACCCCCTTCATGTGCAGGCTTTTCGACACCCACTGGAAGTTGCTGCTGGTGTTGGGCTTTCTCACTCATCCGTTGCTCCAGCATTTCTTTGTGCCTTTGTTGCACAGTAGCTACTGAGGCAATAATCCCTGCTGTGGCCAGATCCATTAGTCATACCTGCAGTGAACTACTGTTAGGAATGTAAGGAACAGAACAGGTCCTTAGTAATGTGAACAGTCAGCATTCGCGTTACTCACAAATGATGGTTTAACATAATGCTTCATTACAGTGGGACATGGAGCACTCTGACAAGGAGGGCCAAGGAGTGCAGCTCATAGATTCATCAGAATAGGGAAAATGTCAAAGGACTATCAGTCGTCATATTGCAAGGAGGTACATGACTACTGAGACGGTTTGATCCAGTTCCACATTAACCAAGAAAAGCATCATAGAAAATTTGGAAAAACTTTATTTTAAAAAGGAATAGGTTCAAATGAAGGTTTAATCAGTGATGTATACTACAGTGAACTGAATAAAAACATGAAATGCTAGTTTGCCTCTCTGTGGCTTGTTTGCTCATCATTCCCCTATACATCATCTGCTCCAAAATCAATTGTAGAAAAACTGGAGTCATTCACAAAATGTGCTGTTCTTCTGTGTTCTACTTTAGTTGATTATTATAAATTTTACTTGACTGTGATTTTTTTTTCAGTTTTAGTTTACAAAGAAGATCCAGCTTTTTGAAGAAGTAACGAAGAGGATTGATATGGGCAGAGCGGTGGACGTGATCTATATGGACTTCAGTAAGGCGTTCGACAAGGTTCCCCATGGTAGACTGGTTAGCAAGGTTAGATCACATGGAATATAGAGAGAACTAGCCATTTGGATACAGAACTGGCTCAAAGGTAGAACACAGAGGGTGGTATTGGAGGGTTGCTTTTCAGACTGGAGGCCTGTGACCAGCAGTGTGCCACAAGGATCAGTGCTGGGTCCATTGCTTTTCGTCATTTATATAAATGATTTGGATGTGAACATAGGAGGTATTGTTAGTAAGTTTACAGATGACACTAAAATTGGAGGTGTAGTGGACAGCGAAGAAGGTTACCTCAGAGTACAACAGGATCTTGATCAGATGGGCCAATGGGCCGAGAAGTGGCAGATTGAGTTTAATTTAGATAAATGTGAGGTGCTGCATTTTGGAAAGGCAAATCAGGGCATGACTTAATGGTAAGGTCCTGGGGAGTGTTGCTGAACAAGGAGACCTTGGAGTGCAGGTTCATAGTTCCTTGAACAGATAGGATAGTGAAGAAGGCGTTTGTTACGCTTGCCTTTGTCGGACAGTGTACTGAGTATAGGAGTTGGGAGATCATGTTGCAGCTGTACAGGACATTGGAATACCGTGTGCAATTCTGGTCACCCTGCTATAGGAAGGATGTTGTGAAACTTGAAAGGGTTCAGAAGAAGATTTACAAAGATGTTGCCATGGCTGGAGGGTTTAAGCTACAGGGAGAGGCCGAATAGGCCAGGGCTATTTTCCCTGGAGTATCAGAAGCTGAGGGGTGACCTAATAGAGGTTTATAAAATCATGCAGGGCATGGATAGGGTTAATAGACAAGACCTCTTCCTTGGGGTCAGGAGTCCAAAACTAGAGGGCACAGGTTTAAGTTGAAAGGGGAAAGATTTAAGAGACCTAAGGGGCAACTTTTTCACATAGAGTGTGGTCTGTGGATGGAATGAGTTGTTGGAGGAAGTGCTGGAGGCTGGTACAATTACAACATTTAAAAGGCGTCTGGATTGGTACATGAACAGGAAGGATTTAGAGGGGCCAAATGCTAGCAAACGGGACTAGATTTAGAGGATATCTGGTCGGCGTGGACAAGTTGGATCGAAGGGTCTGTTTGCGTACAGTACATCTCTATTCAGTTAGGGAGGGGGTAGTCATAGGTAATACTTTATTCTGTAATTAAATCTAATGTTAAGTAAAAGATTGGGGTCTGGTTTCCAGTTTCAGCAGTTGGCTTCATGATTAATGAACATACTGCACTTGTGCTTCCGATATTGATTCCTTTTTCTACAGCTGAGGATTCCTGCCCACTGTGGTTGTAAAGGTGCCTGGTCTTGGTTGACGGAGACCTTGACTGTATCTATCCAATTTCTCACAAATCTGTCCTCAGTGTCAACTTTGAGAACCATGATGTGTTTCCTCTTCTCAAATTTCACCCACTAGCTTTCGAGGAGTGATCAGATTGTGGTACAGGATGGTCATCTCAGAGCAATGTCTAGGCAGCAATAATGGCAGATGTGATCTGTTGAATTCGAAATCCGCCCACCAGATATGCTACATAAATCTAGTCCCCTTTGCCAGCACTTGGTCCATATCCCTCGAAACCCTTCCTGTTCATGTACCCATCCTGATGCCTTTTAAATGTTGTAATTGTACCAGCCTCCACCACTTCCTCCGCTGCAACCCTCTGGTAATCCCTTCGGCCCTGAAACTCTTCAAACACATATTGAAGCAAACTACGCGCTACAGCCACATCGCCTTTCTCCAATCTCCAACACTGCCTACCTGCACTCACCTACCACCATCCTACCTACCTTCCCCAGCCCCATCCCTCCTCTCTATTTATTTCCCAGCTCCATTCCCCCTCCCCCACTTCTGAAGGGTCCTGACCCAAGGGCCTGCCCCTCTGATGCTGCCTGGCCTGCTGAGTTCATCCAGCTCCACACTGTGTTATCTATAACAGCAACATCCCATATGTTTAGGAGATGCAAAATCTGCCTTTCCACCCCTCCGGTCATCTCGAGCCCAAACACACTCTCTCTAACTGGAAAAATAAACATTGATTTATGTGCAGTTATTTTAAGCTCCGTATTTACCATTCGGCATCAATGCGCAGGCGCTGTCAGGATAAATGTCGACGAGGGGGGAGGGGTGAAACCAGGGGGCGGGGCGAGAGCTCGGCGGTCAGCCAATAGGAATAGGAGGGGGCGGAGCCCGGTGGGCGGCACGTGGTGTCAGGGCTGTTGAGGCGGTTAAGGGAGGCGCGGGAGGAGCGTGCAGCGCCATTCGCGGTGGAGATGTCTGTCGATTTGCATGAGTGGTCGGGTCAGCTGGCCCTGCAAGAGGTGGAGGAGAAACCGGCCCAGCCGCTGCAAGTCAGCTACAACGCGGTGGAGATCGATGTACTGGGCAAAGTGCTGACTCCGACGCAGGTACCCGGACGACGCGGTGGGAGCCCGGGATCGGCGAGCCCGTTTGATGCCGTGCTCCGCCCGTTCGGGGGCGGGGTGGGGTGGGGCGGGTGTAGCTTCTGGAAGTTACTGTTTCGGGAGGAGGTCAGAAAGCGAGAGGGTGACCGCCGGCTTTCGGGCTGCAGTAGGGCAAACCTTCATATGCCGAGGGGGAGGCTCCCCCTGTCTCCTTCACACTGGCTGCAGTTAAAACCGCATTTCGGTGTTTTTATTTTGAATAAAAGGTGAATGTTGGAAAGCCGGCTGGTTCACTTTCTCTCCACTGCAGTACAAGCTGCGTATGTTTTGTTGCTGTCTGCCATCTTGCAGTCCGTCCGTCCGTCCCCCTTTCCCGCTACACAAACGGGGCTGGGGGTATTCGTGGGTTTCTTGTCTCCTGGACCTCCTGCATGACTTGAGGAACTCCCAGTTATTGATCATTCTCAGCGCGGAAGTTGGAACAAAATCCACAGGGGCGCTCTTTATTTCTCCCCGACCGACCACCAGTTCAGACACTGTTACCCTGAGCGAGAATGGCTCCGTAACCTTTTCATTCAATGGTATGGACCCAGCATTTTTTAATTTAAAAAATCCGACTAAGCCACTTTAGAGATAACATAATGTGCTTCTAAGATCTTCACTTGAGATCATGACAACTACTGATGATGCAAGTCAAATGGCCAATGATACATCCATCCTAACAAACCCTGGCACTATGTTACTGTACAGCATTCTAGAATTTGTTAGAACTACTGGATTTACTTGCCCAATGTAAGGTGTTGTATTTTGGTAAGGCAAACCAGGGCAGGACTTTCCAGTTAATGGTAGAGCCCTGGGAAGTGTTGTTGAACAAAGAGACTGAGAGTTGCAGGGGCATACTTCCTTGGAAGTGGAGTTACAGGTAGACCGGGTGGGGAAGGAGGTGTTTGGCATGCTTGTCTTTGGTTGGAACATTGAATATGGCTATTGGGATGTCATGTTGCAGCTGTACAGGACATTGGGAGGCTGCTTTTAGAACACTGCTTACAATTCTGGTCATCCTTCTACAAGAAAGATGTTGTTAAACTTGAGGGTGCAGAAAAAACTTACAAGAATGTTGCTGGGAATGGATGGTTTGAGTTATAGGGAGACCCTGAATAGGCTGTGGGTTTTTTCCCTGGAGTGTTGGAGACTGAGAAGTGACCTTTTTATAGAGGTTTATAAAATCATGAGGGGGATGGATAAGGTGAATAGCCAAGGTCTTTTTCCCTAGGGTGGGAAAGTCCACAACTGGAGGGCATAGATTTAAGCTGAGAGGGGGAAAACATCAAAAAAGGACCTGAGGAGTAACTTAGTCATGCAGACCGTTGTCCATGTATGGAACTAGCTGCCAGAGGAAGTATGGAGGTATGTGAATAGGAAGGGTCTAGAGGGATATGGGCCAAATCCTAGCAAATGGCATGAATTCAGATTGGGATGTCTGGTGTGGATGAGTTGGACCAAAGGATGCTTTATGACTAAAATATGCATCCATTCAATGTATTAATCTAATTTCTTGTGTGGAGAATTTTTCAATGTGAGTTCAAAGGTTTCCTTTTAATTAACTTGAGTTTAAGTCTAATGTAAACTTTTCTGTACCTTTTGTATGTCTGATCATAAGTACATTCACATTGTTCTTCACAGGTGCAGAACCGTCCAGTGAGTATTAACTGGTCTGGATGTGATCCAGACAAGCTTTACACTCTGATTCTAACTGACCCAGATGCTCCAAGCAGGAAAGCACCAAAGTTTAGGTAGGTAGTGGAAGGACGTTGTCAATCATTATTCTTTCCTGCATTGAAATGGTTGAGGGAGTATTTTCATAATTCATTGCATTTTAGTGAAAAAATTCACTCCTTGTTCGTATATTGAATTACTAAAGGGATTAAATTTAAAAATGATTCATTTGGTCACTTAAATAAAATGACATTCCAGTGGACACATTATTGTTTGAATGGTGTTATGTACCCATAGTCTGATCTTGAAGTGTGCTTTAACATTCTTCACAAAGGTAAATGCAGATGTATGGGACTGTTTGCTCCCTTCAGCTGATCCATGCCTAAAAACCTGTTTTCCTAACTAGCATCTAGTTTGGTCATGAATGATTTGGGTTTAAGTCTCTTTTTGTATGAGAATATGCTATCCCTGACATCGATTCTGAACTTGCTTTTAACCATTTTGTACCTTTTTTGTCTAATAGTTGAAAGTAATCATTACTACCATTTTCTACTCCATTTTGTACACTTATAGCCCCCTTGAGAAACTAAGATTAAATTTTTCCCATTTGTTACACTACACTAACTGTGCCCAGTTCCCCTCAAGGTACTGAATTTTAGTTTATTCAGGGAAAGTGGAAGAGCGTTTCTGTGACTTACATTGTTCCAATTGCAATTTTGCACTTGAGCAGTTTTCTAAGAACTTGAAATTTTGCTGAATTTAAGAGGAAATGTATTTAATATTGTCAGGTGTGGTGTGGTCTAGGATGTTTTGAATATATTCTGCATTCTGTTCTCTTTAAAAATCACTGATCTGGGGTTTCACTTACAGTGACTATTGTATTATCTACTGGAGTTTAAATTTGACCACTCTTTTATGCCAAAGAAGGGCCCACAATTTTTAGTCTTGCTTTATATTGACTGATTTTAATAGGTTGGTTTTCCCTGTTCAAAGGAGGATCTTTACATTATCCTCTGTTTTTAACATTAGTTAGGTGTAGGGAATGGAAATCATCATCAATGCTATCAAAATACTGTTGGTCAAAAGTTGATGGGTAACATAAATCCATGTTCTTATTTCTATGTACCTTTTGTATAATCAATTCACAAGCCACCTGATATTCCCATAGGATCAAGCTTACCGGTCAATACTGTACATGTTTTATCATTATTTGCATTCAACTTTTAAAATGTACAAGATTTAAAAGAAAATGTTTTAAATCTCTTGGCAGTCTGACGTGGTAAAAGCCGCCTTTGCCACACTGACCCTCATTATAAAGTCTGAGATGTATGTGAAAAGTAAAAATGTTACTCATATAATATTATCTCTATGTATTTGCTTATAATGGAATGGGGTGTTTTCAATGCTCCTGAGCAGTTCACTTTATATAAACTGCTATGGCTTAGAATGCATTGATGTAACAGTTATCGCATGTGACGAACAAATCTAAGTACTCATTAGGAACATGTTGTACAATTCTGCATTGTTTAGGTGTCACTTTCAAGAATTGAAAAGTAGCAATGGAATATTTTGGAACAGGTTGCCTGCTGCTGCATTTGTCGTTTTTGAATAACAATGGCCTGATATTCTGCTAGCTGTTGGTATATGCTCTCCACACCCACTTACTGTTTGCTGCTTTAACTTCACCCACATACACCACTTCCCCTGGAAGTTCATTCTGTACACAAACCACATTTTTACAATTAATGTTCGAATGTACAGAAACTGACATGGTTCCCAAACAATTAATCTTGCTCTTTGTTTATTAGGGAGTGGCACCATTTCATTTTAATCAACATGAAAGGAAATGACATGAAAAGTGGAGAGATTCAGTCTGACTATGTTGGCTCAGGTCCTCCTAAAGGAACTGGTGAGTCCATTAATTTGTAATATAAATTAGATAATAGGATTAAGGAGCCACATTCACTTATTGACCGTTTTGGGTTTATAGTTTGTTGCAAATTTCAGTCAGTGTTCCCAAGCTTTGTCCAGTGCACTGTAACCAACAAAATCACAAATGATTCACAGTAATGTTAAGTGGAAGAAAACAACGTTATTTGAAGTCTGGGGAATTAGTGTAATTTTTTTAATCTTAGGGTTGTCTTTAGATCCATGTTACAAATGGACAATTTAATGTATTTTTAATTGGAAGCATCTAAGCTTTGAGTGGACATTACATAAAAACTTGCAATACTTTTTTAAACCCTTTCAAATCTCCTTGGACAATTTTTTAAAATAACATTTAGTACCGAGCCATGTAGGGAGAGAGTAAAAGCTTGGTCAAAAAAGTAGGATTTGTAATCTTGAGGGTGGAAGTTAAGGTAGAGAGCTGTAGGAGGGTATTCCACAGGACTGGCAATAAAGGTGGAGTACTTAAAAAGGGAGTGTCATGATCATTGACTCGTAAGCACGGAAACAGACCTTTTTGGTCCAACTTATCTAAATGTCTTTTAAATGTTTTAACTGTACCCACATACACCACTTCCCCTGGAAGTTCATTCCATACACAAACCACTTTTTTACAATTTTTTTTCATCTTTCTCCTCTCTCCTTCAAAATATGTCCCCTAGTTTTGAAATCCCCTACCCTGGAGAAGAAGCACCTGTTGTTCACCTTATCTGTACCCCTGATGATTTTATAAACCTCTGAGGTCACCTCTCAACCTCCTAAGCTGTAGTGGGGGAAAAGCCCTGTCCTATCCAGCCTCTTTTTATAACTGAAACCCTCTGGTTTAATAATATCCCTCTATAACAGACTGGAACTAGATACAGTACTCCAGAAGAGGCCTCCCCACCATACTGTACAACCTCAACATAATATCCCACTTCCTATACTTGGTGCTCTAGAGGGGCACAGATATCTTGGATAATTATAAACGTGGAGGAAATTATAGGCCTGGGGAAGGGCAAGTTCATGGAGGGATTTGGAACCAGCGCTGTGAAC